GGACTTGTCCTTGGAGGGAAGCAGCCAGTTACACTCACAGGTTACTCGGACTCGTCGTGGGCCGACGTCACGGAGACGCGTCGGTCTACACAAGGGTACTCCTTTAGCCTCGGGACAGGTGCTGTTTCGCGGCGGTCGACTCGGGCGTCGTCCGTCGCCGGTTTCAGCTGTGAGGCAGAGGTGTACACTGCGGCCATGGCCGCTCAGGAGCTTCGCTGGTTGTCTTTCCTTCTCACCGACCTTGGTGAGCGGCCTCGCTCTCCCCCGGTCTTGTTCGCCTACAACAGGTCTGCTGTCCTGTTGTGTGAGGAGCCCCGACTGGTTGGGAAGGCGAAGCACATCCAGCTTCGTTATTTCCTTCTGCGTGAGTTGCAGCAACGTGGCCAGGCAATCGTTCGACGTGTGGTCTCTGAGGCCAACACGGCATATATCTTCACCAAGGCGTTGCCGCCTTGTGACCACCAGCGTTTCTGCACCCAGCTTGGCCTTGTGCCTGCCCGTCCTCACTTGCTTACGTAGAGATGCCTTGTCCTGCTTGTCTTGTACTCTTGCATCTCCTTATATTTGCTATATACCTGCATGTGGACTGGCCTTGTGGCCTCTTGCTTGCTCTCGGAGTGTGTGGTGACTTTGAGCTCCACCCTGAGATTTGTCTTGTTCTTGTGGACTGGTCTTGTGACCCTTGCTTGTTCTTGCTGACTGGTCATGTGACCCTTGCTTGCTCTCAAACTGTGTGGTGTCCTTGAGATCCACCCTGAGTTATGTGTTGCTTTCCACAGGACTACCGTCACCTAGACTATGGGGGTGTGTCAAGCTATATTTGTTATAGCTTATATTTGTTAGTCTAGGTATACATTCTTGACCTTGGGTTAGGTTAGGGTTCACCGGTTATATCTTGCTGTATGTTTCATTTCATAATTAACATTTTACATTGTGATATTTTTTTCTCTAACAGGTAATCTAACTGCTTCCTTAGTTCGTCGACCTCGTGTTGTGTCAGTCTGAACTGTCGCTGTACGGTTGGCTGTGCCCCCGGTTCTAGTTAAATGCGATGGTCGTGTGCTTGCTAAGGTGGCAATCCTTCCGGCAAATCGTCCGGAAAGATCCCCGGGTACCGTTTCAGTAGTTTCTGTAGTTCGGGCGGTACGGCTGCCAGCAGTTTCTGAAAATCGCTCGGCTACTCTGCTTCTCCTACCAATGCAATATCCACCGCGTACACGTCAGCTCCAGCGGCGACAACCCGTTTCATCGTGATGGCGTTGACGTGGACCGTCGAAGACTCAGGTGACTGCCCGCGAGGTAATTCGACCCAGTCATCACTACTTTGCAAAGTACAGCTACCCGTCGTCCAGTCGATTCGCGGATTGTAGCGTCGCAGCCAGTCACGTCACAGTAAAATGTTGTGACCATCCAGTGTCGTCGCGAGCATTTCCTGTCTAAACCCGAAGTTTCCCCCGCAGCGAACTTTCACCCTCTCCAATTTCTCCCGTATTGCCAGTGGCGTGCTGTCAACTAAACGTGCGTCAACCTCCGGTAAACAGCGGCTAAGCGTCAGTTTCAGCTTCTGTGCAATTGCGGTATTAACTAAGCTGAGGCTTGCTCCTCCGTCTATAAAAATCTTCACTGCTGTCCCCTGTATTTTCACGTAGATCAGTATTGGGCAATCCGTCGCTGTACCCTCCTTATTCATCCGAGCCCGATCGATGGCGTGAATCGATACTGTGACTCGGTGAGGGTCAGTGGGGTCGGGCGAGCAGTGAGTCTCGTCAATAGTGGGCCCGATCTCTACTGACTGTTGGCGTTTCCCTGCCTCCCAGACTCCCTCCCTTGCTCTCCTCCACGGCGTCTCAGCTCCTCTAGGCACTCGCTCTTGCGGTGGCCCGGCCTGTTGCAAGCAAAGCAGCGCCCCTTAAATTGCGCAGCAGCTGCATTTACCGCAATGGCATGTACAGTGGCGTGCTCGATCGGTCCCCGAGGACGATGTCCGTAGTAGGACCCCGGTCTCGGACGTCGCAAAATTTCGATTTTCTCGGCGAGCGCGAGGATTTCGTTGAAATTTGATAGCCCGCGTAGCATGATTTCGTGCGAGATGTCCGGATTCAGCCCTCCGACGTAACGGTCCACCCGCTCCGCCTCGTGCATGTAACCGACTTGCTTGCATAGTGCAAGAAAACCGGTCGTATAATCTTGGACCGATCCAAGCAGTCGCCAAATACGCAGTTTTTGACGCGCCGAAATAGAAGCCACGATCGGCTCGAAGCGAGCCCGAAGCCCTGCGCACCACGCATCCCACGTGCTGTACTGGGCAGTTTCGCAAAACGAACTCCAGGTGACGGCTGGACACGTGGGCCCTTCCTCTTGCGACGGCGGCTCATAAGCGCGTGGCGACGTCACAATGACTCGCCACCAGTCCATGGCGGGGCCCCGTAGCAGTAACACGGCGTATCGTATATTCGCTGCGTCCGACTCGACGTAATTCGCGTCGAAGAAGACGTTCATCGTGAAGACCCACGATTGAACCGTCGGACCTCCACGTTGGCTGGGATCGAAGCAGGGCGGGCGTTGCGGGTTGAGCGGCATCGGTGCGACAAGGTTGTCGTTACCGCTTGTTGTCGCAAATTCGACGTGACAACGGGCTTCGCGAGGCCCGCTCGTGCTTGGTGCGGCCCTGTTTCTCTCGCGCCTGAGCGCTGTCCCACGCTGTCGTGATGTGACGGTGTGACGGATGAAATGACATTCGGCTCATCCGATTGCGCAGGTGCATTTGCAGGTGCTTGTATTGGTGCTTGTGCATTCACCGTTGATTGCTGGCGGGCGGAGTCACGTTCCGCCGTGAGTGTCGCGATTTCGAGCGCCGAATCCTCGAGTTGGCGGACGAGCCGGTCGAGTTGCTCCTGCGTCAACGTCGCGAGGTTGAGGTCGGCCATGGCGGGGGTGTCGGGCAAGCTCAGCGAGAGCCTCGGTCGTGGCCGTGTGTGCTTGCGAGAGAGCACTTCGAGCGGCGGTGCCTGAACGCTGAGAGACGTCTACCCCCTCCAAAAATTGAGATCGTGGGGAAGCGAAGGTGTGGGTGCGGTTCGAGAAGAGATCGTAGGCTCTGAATACCAAGTGTTACGACTGCAATTGAGCGAGCGAGCGAGAATTGCAATATCGAAGCAAAACAATACATTGAGCGAAGGCATGAGTGAAGAATATAAAGCGAAGCTAGCGTCGTAACGGTAACGCGAGAAATTGGGGTGCGCTACGGGCCTAGCGCCGAGATTGGGGAATGTCGAGGTGGAGGTCCGGAGCGCTGGTTACCAACCGAACCGTGAGGTTGGGTCGCATCGTGAACAGTGGCGGGTGTTGGAATAACCGAAAGGTTATCATAACATTTCCGAAGGCTCTCCACTCGCGCGTCACTCCATAACGAAGCAACGCGACTGTATCAGTATCGCAATAGCTCATATAGAGTATGCGGAAGGTCGAGGGTCACCCGAAGGTCAACAGTCGAAGACAGTCAACGGTCGTGCCCCTTGACTGCCCAGTAACCGGACTTGGTAGTTACGCGCTGCAACAAGGTAACTGTCAAGAATAGCAATAGTCGTGGTTACTGTAGCAATGTAACTCAGTTAATAAGGGAATGTACCCCTCAGAGTACATGGCTAGCTAGGATTGCTATTTATTCCTTGTATCACTATCCTTTAATCATTTTGTTCTCTTTCAATCTTATCAACAAGGTCATTCAGAGACTTTTGTCCCTTTCCTTAAACTTAACAGCCTTATCCTGTTCACTACGATCCTTCACCTATAACAACAGAGGGAGTCGTGGTCGAGGCGAGTGTCGCGAGCGGGTAACGCTTCACTGTTGGGTGCCGGTGGCGGGAACGGTCATGTACGCAGTAAGCAGGGGCGCGAAGTAAGGAAAAGGATTTTCCCTTACATATAGAGTGTTTTGCTAGTTCTACCGATGTGAACCGCTACTTACCAGCCTGAACAGTGATACTTGAGCTACGTATGTACAGGACTATATGACCTGCCCTCACTCGAAGGTGGAATGGAATGAAATGCACACTGTTCATGGATGCGCCAACTTTGATCGTGCGTTGATCCTGTACTGTAGACGACGAACCATCCCATCCCATCCCCTCCCCCCAGCTGTCCGCCTCTGCGTCGCTGATGTGGGTTGCTGCCTCACTCCATGCTGTGCTCCACTCCACCACACATCCATAACTTGTGAGTGACGTGAGTCGCGAGGTAAACAGAACACGCTGCACACACAACCTTCACACTCTCTTTTCCCGACACGGGGCTTGACTTCGACGTCAAGGTTCAGGAGGATAGCTCGCAGCGCAGTCTCCATCTCGTAAGCCCAAATCTAGTACCCGATCAACCTACAGTCCCCTCCCCGAGAACCTGCGTTCATTCACCTCGAATACAACTGCCTCGTTGTTTGACTGACGAACTCTATGCACCCGGCGTGTGCGTAGAATGCGGCCCCACGGGCCCCGCCTCGAAACCCGTTAGTACACGGGCTCGAAAAAGCATTCACCATGCAGTCTGCGCTCGATCGTCGCCCCGCCCGGAGCCCCCGCGGGAGCTCCTCCGAGTTTCCGCAGCAATGCGCGGAGATCGAGGGTACTGCAATCTCGATGCCGGATTTCAGCCTTTCCCCCGCCCCCACCGTCTCCCGTCCGCAATCCCGCGGCCAGAAGCCTTCCTTCCCCCGCTCCGCTTCGCTGGGCGCTGCCGGAAAATCCTCCTCCGGACCTCGCCCCGCATCGGCGAGCGCAACGCATGAGCGCAACCTCCGCAGACCCTCGTCCGCGGCGGGGTCAGCGGGAGCGGACCTCGGCGGACGAGTCGCGGCGGCGGCGGCGGCGGTGGCGGCATCCGTGGCAGCGGCAAATGCGGCTGCGCCGGTCGCTCCCACGGCTGCTGAGCTTTACGCAACGGCGGAGACTGCTGCGGAGGCGGCGGCGGCGGCGGCGGCGCAGCGGATGGCGAAAGCGCGGGAGCTGATGGAGCGGCTGCACCAGCCGACGGCGCACGAGTTGCGCCAGCAGCGGGAGGAGGTGGAGCGGCGGGAGAAAGCGCGGAAAGAGATGCTGGGGAGGCAGCGGAACGAGGAGCGGCGAAAACAGGAGCTGGTAACCCGCGCGGCGACGATCATCGCGACCGCGGGGATGCCGGGCGCGCGGGAGTTCCGCGCGGAGCAGGAGCGGCGGGAGGAAGAACGGGGTGCGGAAGAACTTCGCGAGCAGGAGCAGCGGGAGGCGGAAGAGCAGCGGCAGAGGGAAGAGGAGGAGCGGCGCCAGCAGCTGAAAACCCGCGCGGCGACGATCGTCGCTAATGCGCCGTCGTGGGAAAATCCGGAAAATCCGGGCGTGAATTCGAGGGAATCGTCGCCGGTGCTGCTGCCGCGACGTCGCCCACTGACGCTACAGATCGACGACGCGGTCGGCGATAGTAACGCTGTAACGGTCGCTTCCCCCGCGACAGGCTCCGCCAAGCCTCCGCGGCAAGGCGCTGGGGGGGCGGAACGCAGCCCGCGATCAGCGCCGCTGGCGGCGGCGGCGTTCACTTCCGGATCGCAATCAGCGATGGTGGGAGCCAAGTCCCCCGGATCGATCTCCCGCGGCGCGACTCGCTCGTTCGTAGCACCCGCCGCGGCTCCCCCTCCCGTGGCATTACTTCCGCCCAAGTCTCCCGCCGCGCCGACCGCGGGCAAAAGCGCATCTTTTGCCAGGGAAGAGGCGAGTAGACCTGAGGCGATCAAATCCCCCAAAGGCGTGCTTTCTTCGTCGTTGGGAGGTCGTCACACGCGGAGCTTTCACGGGCAGCAACAAACTTTCCACGGGCAGCAGGGCGAGCCGCCCGGGCAGAGAAACGGGCATGTGAAAAAATCGATGTCGTTTCAGGATTTGGGGTGTTTACACCCGCCAGAATTTCCCGGTAAGGCCGCGGAGCGCAGTAACACGACAGGTAGCAGTAGCACGACTCACGGCGGAAACACGACCACTACTAATAGTAGTACTAGCAGCGGCTCCAGCCGTATCCCAAGGGCCTCGCGCGGCGCGTCGGTAATAGAAAGGTGGACTAGGAGAGGCGACTCGATGGATTTAACTAGCGATCGCTTGGTATCAGTTGAAGAAGACGAGTGGGGTCGCACGGGGATGGAGAGGCGAAGCGAGAGGAGGAGAGGAGGCAGCGAGGGGTGCGGGCTCGCGTTGACGGATGACTGGGCGGAGGGTCATGATGACGATGTTCCTGTAGCGAGAACGCTTGTACCGTGTGCGGTTGTACCGAGTACGGTTGTAGCGAGCGGGTGGGCGCGCAAGATAAGCGTTGCGGATATGCCTCTCGACTCTGCGTCGGAACTAGTTGTGTCCCCCCGCCTGCCGCACCATGCTTCCGCCGAGCTCCCCCCCGCGGGCACGCCTCCGCCGAGCCTGGCGCTCTCGCCCCGCCTGGCGCTCTCGCCCCGCCTGATCGAATTGCAGATTGATCTGCACGATAGCCCTCCCTCGCCCTCTCCTCCCTCCCCACCCCCTCTCTCCCAGTCTCCCCGCGCATCTTCCCGCCACCCTTTCTCCCCTCACTGCTCCTCCCCTTACTCGCCCTTCCCTCGCTCCCCCTCCCAAGACGCTGGTAAAATATATGCCGCATCGCCCATGCTTCCGGCCTTTCAGGGCGCGAGTAGAAAGAAGGACTCTCTACCCCCTCTTTCACCCACCCGCATTCCCTCCCATGCCTCGGCCGCCGGACCTGCCTCTAAGGCTCGGCACGCCTACCCCCGGAGCAAGAGCTCCGCCGAAGCAGAAGGTTTGGCCGGGGAAGGCAAATTTGCCGAACCTAAGTATTCTCCAGGTTGGGATGGTGATGTTGAGGTGAACAGGGTGCGATCCCTAGGCGAACGGGTTCGAGGCTCGGGCAGAGACTGCGCTGCCGAGGCTGAGGATTTGCCTAGTGCAGTAACCCGAGCCAAGACCGTGGAAGGCAGGATTGAGGGAAGGGGAGGGGAAAGAGGGAGGGGAGGAGCAGCAGGAGAAGCGAGAGAAGCGAGGGGAGTGGGTGAGGGTGTGAGGCGAGGGGAATTGCCGCAGAGAAGACCTGGGAATCGGTCCCATAGTAAATCCATGTACTCAACAGCAGGAGGTCTGGGATTCAGCAAGCAGCAAGCAGAAGGTGTATCAAGCAGCCCGGGCAATCAGAGAAGATCGAGAAACCAGGGTAACCGGTGTAACCAGAGTAACTGGGATAACCAGGAAAGTCCGGGCGGCTCAGCGGGTGTGGGAGACGGGAAGGCAAGGGTAGGCTCTGAAAGAATTGCAAGGAGAGGGCTTGTGAAGCATGCTAGTGTGGCGGAGTGGGGGAGAGGGAATACTGAAGGGGATGCTTCAGGTTTAGTGGATGGTTCGGGGAGAAGGGTGGGGAGAGGCGGGCACAGGAGGGCTGTTTCCTGGGCAATGCCGGGGGAATTGAGGTTGGAAGGGAGGGAGGATGGCGTGGTGAGTGAACTGTTTTCCAGACGATCACCCGGTGCCACCACTGCTGGCGCTGCTACCGCTGCTGCTGGCACAGGCAAGGCGGAAGCAAAGGCCGATGGGAGCGGCCGTTGCGAGCCAATTCAAAACCCTTCTGCTGCTGCTCCTGCTGGTGCCGACTCAGCCGCAGCCACACGCGAGGAGGCCGCAGAAGCGGACGAACGAGCCCAGTGGGAGGAGGCAGAGCTTCATATCCGCTCACGGTTCTTCAAGGCCAGCCGCAACCGCCTCTTCAGCCTCGCAGCCAAGGGCCTCTCCTCCTTCTCCAAACTCCTTGCTGCTGCCGGTGCTGCCGCTGGCGCCGCTGCTGCTGGCATGGGCGTGGGGGTTGTGGGGGTGAATGTGCTGGGTGGGGAGTTTGGGGAGTTGGAGGAGCGGTATGAGCTGGAGGGAGGGAAGGAGCTGGGTGCGGGGCAGTTTGGGGTGACACGGGTGGTGGTGTGTCGGAGCACTGGGAGGCGGCTTGCATGCAAGACCATCAACAAGGCTGCTTTCAAAGTACATGTTTTTTCTGCTCCGTCTGATTTGTTGTTCCTCCTCTCCTCGTCCACTTTGCTTTCGCGCTTCTTCTGTCGTCTGCCATTTGTGCCTTGTGTTTCTTGCTTCCCCTATCCTCCTCCCTCACATGCTCTTCCCCCTCCCATGCGCTGCCCCTTGTCTTCCTCCTACCCCTCCCCACCACCCAGTCCAAATCCGACATCGAAAACGTGCGCAGGGAAGTCGAAATCTTAAACCTCCTCAAATCGCACCCCAACGTGATCCACCTGGAGGAACCCATCGAAACCCCCCACGCCATCCACCTGGTGATGGAGCTGTGCGCGGGCGGCGAACTATTCGATCGAATCAAGGAGCGGCGGCGGTACAGCGAGAGGGAGGCGGCTTTGGTGATGCGCGCGGTGCTGGGCGTGCTGCAGAGCTGCCACCAGCGCCACCACGTGGTGCACCGCGACATCAAGCCCGAAAACATCCTCCTCGCCCACCCCTCCTCCCACACCGACGTCCGAATCATCGACTTCGGAGTCGCCACGTTTCTCAAGCCTGGGGGGAAGATGTTGAAAGATGCCGTTGGGTCGCTGTTTTACATTGCCCCGGAGGTGCTTTCCGGGTCGTATGGGACGGCGGCGGATGTGTGGTCGGCAGGCGTTGTCCTGTATGTGCTGCTGGCCGGCGTGCCGCCGTTTTGGGCGGAGACGGAGGCGGGGATGGCGAGGGCGATAAAGGAGGCGGAGGTGGGGTTTCAGGGGTCCGCGTGGAGGGGTGTGACGGAGGAGGGGAAAGATTTGATTCTGCGGATGCTGGATCGGGACCAGAAGAGGAGGGTCTCGGCCCAGGAAGCTTTAGGTGGGTGATGTTCGGTAAAATGGTTCTCCCTGTTGGGTAAGGTGGGTGCAGTGGAATGAAATGGGTCTTGTTGGACAAGGTGGGTATGGTTGGATAAGGTTCATGGGAGGTACGTGGGAGCATTATGCATTGAAAGCTTCACGAGTCAGGTGTGAGGGAGGGCATGTGCAGGAACATGGGCTTGCAAGTGTGGCTCTTCTTGCTCCCACATACATTTGTCTCCTACGCTCCCCCTTGTGTTCTGATGTGGGTGGGAAGATGCTGTTTGCACGTCCTTTCCTTTTCCTTCCTTTTCTTTTCCCTCTTCTCCCCTCCTGTCCTGCCTTCTCCCATCCTACTCATCTCATTGTCTCTCTTCCATGCCGACTTTCCTTTGGCTGCCTTGTTCTGGTTGCAGAGCATCAATGGTTCGGTCGTTTTCAATAAACCTCGCTACTCTAATTTGAAAATAATCATATGAGGAACACACATACGTCCAAGTGATCCTGTAGAATAGAACATTCTTTCGGAACAGTGGAAACCACTGTTCTAATATGATAGCCTTATGTCAGACTGTATTTATATGTGTGTTATGTTTGTTAGGCTACAGTGAGTTGCATTGTATAGGTTACAGCACAGGGACCAGGTTGCCCTTAGCTGAATGTGAGTCCCTCTTGATGTACATGGTGAAGTGAGGTGAGACGTAAGGAACTCTTAACTTTCTTACACACGTTTCGATTTTTCTGAACGTGCTGCTCTAGATCGGGAGTGCTACTATCGGCTAATGGATACAGCGTTGTAGGGTTGGTGGTGGACCAGCCGACACGACTTGGCAGCACTGTCACATGCTCCTTGAAGGTGGGCTGGGTTTTGCCTTCGATATAAGAAACAGGAGGAAAAGTGTGGACTGGACGGTGAAATTGGGGAGGGTTTCCTTCGATGAGCGCATGGGCCATGGCGGTTCCCCGAGGCATCTTCCCAGCCTGTGCACCGGATCCACAACCTCACCGCGTTTGAACAGCACTGCATTGCACTGTACATCTAGATGCGACTCGAGCGCAATAGCAGCATCGCCGCCAACCAACCTCTCTGGGCCTCCATAATTCATGCTGCCCGCCTCTACACGGCACTGTACACTCCTCACCCACCCACCGAGAAATCGTGCTTCTTTTCCCAGATCCCACCCAGACCTCTCCCTGGCAGGGCTCCTTGGCTACCGGGCTATACTTTGCACACCGTCATGTTTTTTCCGCCCATCGCATGGGATGGGGAAGCTTGAAATTGCCGGGTCACTCACTCCGAAGAGAAATCCCAGCCCTTGGTTTTGCCCAGCCCTTGCTTTTGCCCAGCCCTTGAAGCATGGGTTGCTGAAGCGTAAAGCTGATCGTGCAAAACTTGAACGCTCCACTTGACGGTCACAATCTCTTTGACCTTCCACTGACTGTATTATCCACAACGCATTATTTTCAGCACGCTTGGATTTCGGTTTTGGATTAGCTCAGCTCAGGCAGATTTGTTCGCAAGCTTCTAGCAACAGCAATTGAACCCTCCGCCGCCCCACAGCGTTTGCCTTCGCGTAAAAGCCGCCACGGCTACTTCTCTGTTGGCTCGCGTGCACTTGCTCGATAGATTACGAAGCTTGCGCGATTGCGTATGCGCCAGGCTGAACCCACGCGTCCTTTTTTTGAAGCGCGATGACGTGCGCTAGACGATTTTTGGCTATCGACAGACCTTGGATTGGCCTGCTTCTGGTACGTCCGTCATCTTCCACGTCAATGTCAACGTCAACGTTAACGTCATCGTCATCTTCGTCGTCATTGTCATCGTCAAACTGATTGCGTCGACCCTGACCCGTGCCCAAAGGCTTCCGCATTCCCCGCTGCTTTCTCCTCGTTTCTCGCGCCCATTCGCCCCCACCCGCTCCCAACACCTTTTTTTTTTTACCGCGCCACTCTCGCTCCCCCCCTTTTTTCCCACGGATTGTTTTCGCGCAATTCTGCCTCCTTTTCGTAATACAAGATGGTACGAGAATCTCGTTTCTTCGCTCACATACTCACGCCACCGCACTCCCCTCCTCGCCGCAGGTGGTAACATTCGCCTGCGCTTTCGCCGACGCGTTCAACACGACCGACCTGTCGTCCAACCCGATTTCATTCAAGCTCCCGTCGGGAATCACCAAGATCCGCGATTTCCTCGACGACGCGCTCAATCCCGACAAGGACACGTACAACGGCAACGTGTCGACCGCGGGCCGATGGGGGCAGGCAATCCTGTCGGGATGCTCGACGACATGCAAGGCGTCGTCGAGCAAGTGGGAGTGCGGCGTGATGCACGAGCCTATCAACGTGTACCTCATCTGGTTCGGGCGGTTCAAGGAAAGCCAGAAGAACATCATTCGCAACTTCGTGCGGTCGGTCGGCGATACCACTGACCCTTCCAATACGGGTGAGTGTGCTCAGCACGCCAGGCCATCGCGAGAGAAGGAATGGGAGAATGTGGGGAAGGGAGGAAGGGAGGGGAGATCGGGGCTGGCCTGAAAATAGAGTCGTTAGCGCTTGCAGCTCTGAGCACCCTGAGCCCTGTCCCGGCCTCGTCTCGTGCATGCAATCGTCCCATCCCCCCCAGCTTTCCCCTTCCCCACCCTGCCCTCCCAGCTTTCCCGTTCCCCACCCTGCCACCCCAGCTTTCCCGTTCCCCACCCTGCCCCCCCCAACTTTCCACTTCCCAGCCCTGCCCCACCCACTCCCCCCCCCCCCCCAGCTTTTGCCTTCCCCGCCCTGCCCTTTCCCCCACTACTCTCTCCCCACTAATCAACTGTTAGTACACGCAATTGCAACGCTGCTTTCCTTTCGTTCACGTCTTCCTTTCCTGCCCTTACCCTGTCTCTCATCCCTCTCCCTTCTTCTTCCTGTTCCCAATGGTGGAACATCAACCGCCTGTACTCGAACTGCAGTGGTAACCTTGTTTCGACCTCCTTCCTCTCCCTCTCCCTTCCCCTTCCCCTCACCCTCCCTCGCAGTCTCCCAGTGGTGGAACATCAACCGCCTCTACACGGATTGCAGCGGTAACCCTGTTTCTCAGGAGGTGAAACTAGCAGGCGACCACCATTTAAAGCCGCGCATGCGCTTCCTCTTCAGCAACATGGCGGTCACCTCTGTAGTCAGACGCGCTCTAAGTGCCAAAGCGTTCCCTACCGACCCGAACGGGGTTTACTTCGTGATCACTGATAGAGGCACAAAACAGGTGGGTGGCTTGTAAAATGACTCCTGCAAATGACCCAGACTATGAGTCTAACTGCCAGCGTGTTCCTTCTGTTAGAAGTCTTCATGGTCAGTCTCTTCTTTTCCTCTCTTACTCACTTCCTCTGCCTTTCCGCTCTCACTTCCTCTTTCCCCTTCTCTTCCGCTGGCCAGCATCCGCTGCTAGGCTGTTCCTCCTCGGCCTACTGTGGCTGAAACTCGTATGACAACACCTAGACTCGTGCCCCTCTCTCCCCCTCTCTCCCGCTCCCCTTCTCTCCCTCTCTCCCACTCCTCCCTCTGACCAGCAATCGCTGCTAGGCGGCTTCTGCTCAGCCTACTGTGGCTGGCATTCATACGACAGCATCAGGAACCATGCTCTCAAGCTCGCCTTCATTGGCCATCCAGGAAGAGTGAGTTTTGAAGCACGCATTCGAGCTTATAGCGAGTACAGTTTCCATTCATATGGCCCACTGTGGCTGGGGTGAATCTTGAAACACGCTGAGGCTAGAGGGTTTCAGTAAGGTGTGGCGAGGTGAGGAAATCCTGGTTTCCCCACCTTCCCATCTCTCCATTTCCCCATCTTCTCCTCCCCATCTCCGCCTCCCCTTCCCTCCTCCCCAATGCCTGCGGTCGTGTGCAGCCCCCTCCATGTCGCGAAAGGGCGACAGCAGTCCCAACGGCGATCGAGCATTGGATGCCATGGTCTCAATTCTCGCCCACGAGCTCGCTGAGACCGCCTCTGACCTTTCCTTCCCGATCCCCGCCGCCTCCCCTTTTCCTCCACCCCTATCCCCTCCCTCTCCCCGTACCCTACATCCCCCTCTCCCCTTCCTCCCCCCAGTGCCTGCGGTCGTGTGCAGCCCCTTCCATCTCGCGCAAGGGCGGCAGCAGCCCCAACGGAGACAGGGCAATGGACGCAATGGTCTCCATCCTCGCTCACGAGCTTGCTGAGACCGCCTCTGACTCTCCTCTCCCCCTCTCCCCTCCCTCGCCCCTTACATTCCCCTCCCCAGTGCCTGAGGTCGTGTGCGGCCCCCTCCATCTCGCGAAAGGGAGGCGAGTCCCAACGGAGACAGGGCAATGGACGCAATGGTCTCCATCCTCGCTCACGAGCTTGCTGAGACCGCCTCTGACTCTCCTCTCCCCCTCTCCCCTCCCTCGCCCCTTACATTCCCCTCCCCAGTGCCTGAGGTCGTGTGCGGCCCCCTCCATCTCGCGAAAGGGAGGCAGGAGTCCCAACGGAGACAGGGCAATGGACGCAATGGTCTCCATCCTCGCTCACGAGCTTGCTGAGACCGCCTCTGACTCTCCTCTCCCCCTCTCCCCTCCCTCGCCCCTTACATTCCCCTCCCCAGTGCCTGAGGTCGTGTGCGGCCCCCTCCATCTCGCGAAAGGGAGGCAGGAGTCCCAACGGAGACAGGGCAATGGACGCAATGGTCTCCATCCTCGCTCACGAGCTTGCTGAGACCGCCTCTGACTCTCCTCTCCCCCTCTCCCCTCCCTCGCCCCTTACATTCCCCTCCCCAGTGCCTGAGGTCGTGTGCGGCCCCCTCCATCTCGCGAAAGGGAGGCAGGAGTCCCAACGGAGACAGGGCAATGGACGCAATGGTCTCCATCCTCGCTCACGAGCTTGCTGAGACCGCCTCTGACTCTCCTCTCCCCCTCTCCCCTCCCTCGCCCCTTACATTCCCCTCCCCAGTGCCTGAGGTCGTGTGCGGCCCCCTCCATCTCGCGAAAGGGAGGCAGGAGTCCCAACGGAGACAGGGCAATGGACGCAATGGTCTCCATCCTCGCTCACGAGCTTGCTGAGACCGCCTCTGACTCTCCTCTCCCCCTCTCCCCTCCCTCGCCCCTTACATTCCCCTCCCCAGTGCCTGAGGTCGTGTGCGGCCCCCTCCATCTCGCGAAAGGGAGGCAGGAGTCCCAACGGAGACAGGGCAATGGACGCAATGGTCTCCATCCTCGCTCACGAGCTTGCTGAGACCGCCTCTGACTCTCCTCTCCCCCTCTCCCCTCCCTCGCCCCTTACATTCCCCTCCCCAGTGCCTGAGGTCGTGTGCGGCCCCCTCCATCTCGCGAAAGGGAGGCAGGAGTCCCAACGGAGACAGGGCAATGGACGCAATGGTCTCCATCCTCGCTCACGAGCTTGCTGAGACCGCCTCTGACTCTCCTCTCCCCCTCTCCCCTCCCTCGCCCCTTACATTCCCCTCCCCAGTGCCTGAGGTCGTGTGCGGCCCCCTCCATCTCGCGAAAGGGAGGCAGGAGTCCCAACGGAGACAGGGCAATGGACGCAATGGTCTCCATCCTCGCTCACGAGCTTGCTGAGACCGCCTCTGACTCTCCTCTCCCCCTCTCCCCTCCCTCGCCCCTTACATTCCCCTCCCCAGTGCCTGAGGTCGTGTGCGGCCCCCTCCATCTCGCGAAAGGGAGGCAGGAGTCCCAACGGAGACAGGGCAATGGACGCAATGGTCTCCATCCTCGCTCACGAGCTTGCTGAGACCGCCTCTGACTCTCCTCTCCCCCTCTCCCCTCCCTCGCCCCTTACATTCCCCTCCCCAGTGCCTGAGGTCGTGTGCGGCCCCCTCCATCTCGCGAAAGGGAGGCAGGAGTCCCAACGGAGACAGGGCAATGGACGCAATGGTCTCCATCCTCGCTCACGAGCTTGCTGAGACCGCCTCTGACTCTCCTCTCCCCCTCTCCCCTCCCTCGCCCCTTACATTCCCCTCCCCAGTGCCTGAGGTCGTGTGCGGCCCCCTCCATCTCGCGAAAGGGAGGCAGGAGTCCCAACGGAGACAGGGCAATGGACGCAATGGTCTCCATCCTCGCTCACGAGCTTGCTGAGACCGCCTCTGACTCTCCTCTCCCCCTCTCCCCTCCCTCGCCCCTTACATTCCCCTCCCCAGTGCCTGAGGTCGTGTGCGGCCCCCTCCATCTCGCGAAAGGGAGGCAGGAGTCCCAACGGAGACAGGGCAATGGACGCAATGGTCTCCATCCTCGCTCACGAGCTTGCTGAGACCGCCTCTGACTCTCCTCTCCCCCTCTCCCCTCCCTCGCCCCTTACATTCCCCTCCCCAGTGCCTGAGGTCGTGTGCGGCCCCCTCCATCTCGCGAAAGGGAGGCAGGAGTCCCAACGGAGACAGGGCAATGGACGCAATGGTCTCCATCCTCGCTCACGAGCTTGCTGAGACCGCCTCTGACTCTCCTCTCCCCCTCTCCCCTCCCTCGCCCCTTACATTCCCCTCCCCAGTGCCTGAGGTCGTGTGCGGCCCCCTCCATCTCGCGAAAGGGAGGCAGGAGTCCCAACGGAGACAGGGCAATGGACGCAATGGTCTCCATCCTCGCTCACGAGCTTGCTGAGACCGCCTCTGACTCTCCTCTCCCCCTCTCCCCTCCCTCGCCCCTTACATTCCCCTCCCCAGTGCCTGAGGTCGTGTGCGGCCCCCTCCATCTCGCGAAAGGGAGGCAGGAGTCCCAACGGAGACAGGGCAATGGACGCAATGGTCTCCATCCTCGCTCACGAGCTCGCGGAGGCCACCTCTGACCCGTACCTGGGCACGTGGACTGACGCCAGTGGCATGGAGAACGCGGATATCTGCGCCTGGAGGTGAGGCTTGGCGTTGTGATTGATGGGTTGGTGAGCTGCTGTTATGTGTGGTGGGCACATGGCCGTACCTGGGCACGTGGCCTGGCGTCATTGGGACGGAGAACGCTGATATCTGCGCCTGGTGGTGAGGTTTGATGTTGTGTGGTCGGTACAGTGGCCTGTACCTGGGCACATGGGCTGCCTCTGACCCGTACCTTGGCACGTGGACTGACGGCAGTGGCATGGAGAATGCTGATATCTGCGCCTGGAGGTGAGTTAATGTTGGTGTGTGGTGGGCGGCACCTGGCCTGTACCTGGGCACATGGGCTGCTCTTACCCGTACCTGGGCACGTGGACTGACGCCAGTGGCATGGAGAACGCAGACATCTGCGCCTGGAGATGAGGTTTGGTGTTGTGGTCAGTAGTAGTATGGCCTGTACGTGGGCACTTGGGCTGCCTCTGACTGGTATCTGGGCACGTGGACTGACCGGTATCTGAGCAGCATTGAGAGCGCGGATATCTGCGCCTGGAGGTGAGCTGCCGTTATGTGTGTTTGGTACATTGCTGTAGGGTCCTAAGCCAGGTTCTATGCAGAATATGGAGTCAAGTCAGTGTGAGGCAAAGGTGTCAGCGGATACAAGAGATGGTCGAGCGGATTACAATGTTGTGGGGCTTGATGGTGCCATTCCCTCTTATATGCCTCGCTCCCTTCCCGCTCCTACTCCCGCTCACCTCCCTCCCTCTTGCCTCACCCCCAATCCCTTCCCCAATGAATCAGCTATGGCACAATGGAGACAACAGCCAGTGAAGCGGAGCACAACCTGGTGGGGCTGGGTGCTGCTTTTCCCTCTATATGCCTTGCCCCCTTCTCCTCTCCTACTCCCTCTCACCTCCCTCCCTTCTGCCTGCCCTCTCTCTCTTCCCGCCCCCACCAGCTATGGCACAGTGGAAACAACGTCTGCTGGAGCGGAGTACAACCTAGTGGGGCTGAATGGGATGAAGTTTCTCGTGCAGCAGAACTACCACCCGACTTTAAAGACCTGCCTGGTTACCACCACAGTGTAGCATTGTTACACTGCAATACAGCAGCTTTACAGCAACCAATAGAGAATCCCTTGGTTGCTATCAATCATTAAGGAACTCCGCTCGAGCTCCTGCCCCTTCTTTATCGGCTGTAATCAATCATAGAGCCCCTGCCTACCTCTTGCATTTAGAGTGTTTTATAAAAGTCGTCATGATTTGTGCCCAGCTGATGGGTTGGGCGCTTACGCACACTCCTATTGATAAAATGCACGAGCGCCATGTCTTTGTTCTGCCCCCCTTCTTTATAGAGTTAATCACATCGCCTAGGAGATGTTTTTGTTGACTCGAACCTCTTTGTGGTAAGGTACCTACCAATTTGTAGCTGTGACCTTGAGGTTTGGTAAAGATATGCACCAGATTGTAGCTTCGTTATTCGTTATTCCGTGGAACTATGTCGAACAAAAGGGTTCATATATTCTCGGAAATGTCCCAGGAAGGAAGTTGGTCCCTAAAACCAATCGATCCATCCCCGCACTTCCCGGCGTTTTCTGTGCAGTACCAACGCGGTTGACTGTTGCGACTCCAGCGCAGAAAAGTAAAGATTTACCCACATGAGTTTCCCCTTGTATAGTTCTGTGCATGATTTCGATTGCGTTGGCTGAGCTGTTTTTTTGTCTAGTTGAGTTGGGTTGGTTTGTGGTCGCTGTTGTGACAGCTTCGATTGAACCCCCTTCGATCACGCCGACGCCTTTCCTCGCACAATTCCGGATAAAGCCGTGATCATTCTCGTTCACACTACAACCTGGTGTGTGGTGTGGAGTGTAGATCCCTACCTACCCGCAAAACATTCTGGTCCGAAGGCAAGATACCCGCAAACCATTTCATCGCTGTGCCTGGTCTTCATCGGCCTTGCTGACTGGCTCGATCCACTTCTATTCCTCAGGCTGGCAAGTAGAGCGAGATACTCCTGATTCCCGAATCATTGCATGCCTGTACCCACCATCTCGCCCTTGCTGACTGGCCATCTCTGAGATGGAAAAAGGAGTCAATACTTTCTTTCTCGAATCGCGGCTGTTGACAGGCACAGATAGAAGTACGTACAGTAATGTCTGGAACGATAGCGATAAAGGCCTGCCTCATCCAGCCTGGTTGCCTTAGTCGAGTTGTCCACCTACCTCGGCTTCAGACCCACAGTCGCACATCTCCGTAAACAGCACTCAAACCCGCGTTGCGTTCCGTAGGCACAGCACTTCTAGTATTTTAGGTGAAGGAAACATGAGTGGTCGGATCTGTCAGCAACGGAGTAGCCAAGAAGGTCCTGCGTGCGAACTCTGCCTTGTGTGAACCAAAACCTGCATTGAGCGCCAGGTAACGCATTAGCCAGCGGAGCGATAATACTCGAGCCGCATTTCTTAAATAGCATCGCCGCAACCGAGTGGGTGGTTTGACAATGCCGACGGGAAACGGAAACTTCGCGGTTCTGCTCCTACTACTACTTCTGGCTGTTCACGCCTCGTTGGCTTCACTTGAGGAAGCCCGCGCGCCCGTCGAAAATCCGTCGCAATATGAGATCTTTATGCAAAAAACTCGGGACATTCCGGAAGACCAGAGGCGGCAACACGAGGAGCGCATTCTAGAGGCGGAGCGCGGCGAAATGGTGGGCGGCCGGCGCGGCGAGCGCGTTCTGGTGGACACGGGAGTGAAGCTCGGGCTGTCGGCGCCGCCGCTTAACTCGGGGCCGAGCATGGCGGTGGTGAACATGTCGTTCTACCGCTGGGAGAGCGTCGCGCCGCCGCCCGTCGTCGACTGGCGGAAGACCGTCGCCATCACGCCCATCCAGACGCAATATGTGGTGCGTACCCATCCAGGCGCAGCGTATTCCGCCCGCGTCGCGTCGCTTCCTCTTTCGCCTGGTTTCCAGTATCTTGTGTCCTAAGCCGCGTCAGAAGCACTCGGCTCGCGACTCCAGCAAAGGATTGGGCTGTGATTCTTCAAGATGTGTGTCATTTGTTGTCCTGTTTTCGAGTCGTCGTGATATTGTACTTACCCGCCGCTTGCCTACCTAACACCCCTCCTCAGTGCTCAAGCTGCTGGGCGATCGCGGCCGTCGATACGATCGCCATAATGTGGGCGATCGCCAACAACGGCGTCGGGACGAATCTGTCGCCGCAGCAGGTGTGCGACTGCGCGACGAAGCAGTGCTGCCAGGGCGGATGGCCCGAGTGGGCCTTCTCCTACGTGCTCTTCAACGGCGGCGTCACGTCCAACGCCAACTACCCCTACCTCGCCTACGATTCCGCCACGTGTCTGCTCGACACGTCCATGCCGTCCGTGGCGCAGATCACGGGGTGGGAGCTGGTGCCGGCATTCAACGCCATGGCGCTCATGAAGGCCGTCAGCATGCAGCCCGTCGTCGCCTTCATCAGCGCTTCCGCCGCCGACTTCACCGTACGCCCTGCGCCCTGCGCCCCTGCCTCCCGTTCCCTTCGCCGCTCCCACCGTTTCCCGATTCCCCGCGTTTCTTCACTCATACCGTTTCCCGATTTCCGCATTTCTCCGCTCACACCGTTTCCCTACACCCCGCGTTCCTCCGCTCGCACCTTTTCCCGACTCGCCGCGTTCTTCCGCTCACATCGCTTCCCGATTCCCCGCGTTTCTCCGCTTACACCGTTTCCCGATTCCCCGCGTTTCTCCGCTCACATCGTTTCCCGTTTCCCCGCGTTTTCGCTCATACCGTTTCCCGATTCCGCATTTCTTCGCTCACACCGTTTCCTGACTCCCCGCGTTCCTCCGCTCACACCGTTTCCCGATTTCCCGCGTTTCTCTGCTCATAGAGCTTCCGATTTGCCGCATTTCCCTACTCGCAATGTTTCCCGACACCTAGCGTTACCCCACTTGGACACGGATTCCCCGCGTTTCCTTCCCTCTCGTCCACCTCTCTCCACGTGCAGGCGTACTCAAGCAACGGCGTGCTCAACATTTACAACGGCGTATGCACGACTGATGTGAACCACGCGGTGGTGGTGGTGGGCTTTAACTACACGGGGCCGGACCTCAAAGGCAGCTATTGGATCATCAAGAACTCGTGGTATTCCACGTGGGGCGACCGCGGCTTCATGTACCTCGCCATGACGCCCGACGTGCGCGGGAAATGCGGCATTTTATCGTACGTTCCGGAACTTTGCTTCCCGTCTTCTCGGGCGGTTGAGTCTCCCTCCGTCTCCACCGACATCTTCTTCCGTCGCGACTGGGAAGCGTTGCGTTCCGTCGCGCGTAGGAAGCGTTGCGTTCCGTCGCGCGTAGGAAGCGTTGCGTTCCGTTGCGCGTAGGAAGCGTTGCGTTAGGTCGCGCGTAGGAAGCGTTGAGATGTCGCGCCTAGGAGGCTCCCAGACCCTGCAAACCCATCCAAACGCCTCTCAGAGGCTCCTGTCAGTGCCAAGTTCACTATTCAGTTGTGCCACTAATTCACCTTTTATTCTCTCTCTCTGTAACCATACCCCCTTTTCCGCGCAGAACCCCCGCCATGTACCCCGTCTACTTCCCCTCCGGGCAGCAGCCTGCGCGCTTTGCGTCCGACAAGCGCGGCAAGTGGAAAATCAACAAAGTGGACGACCTCTCTTCGTCGCTCTTCTCCTCTACCCTCTCCCTTTCAACCACCACCACCACCACCACCACCAGTGGTACCGCCACAATCGCAGCAATCACCGATCCAACACTCTCCACCTCTTCCTCGCTGTTAAAACCCGCAGCCTGAATTACAAAAAAAGTTGAGAGGTGTTAACACCTTCCCTCCCGAACCAGGGTGGTTACCAGTTGTTCACCTGCAAAACGTGATGAAGTCGCAGGCAGCGAAGGGAAGTGTCGCTCGGTTCCTGCGCAACCACTCTGGCGTTGGTGTGCACACCAAACTGGAAACCTGTAATTCAGGTCGATAGAAACTGCTTAGTCCGATCAGCACCAGCGGCAGCCATATCTTAGAACAGCTACGCTCCAACCTGATTCCAGCCCCAGGCCTCTTAGACCCGCCTTACTCGTTAGGACTAATACTCCATTCCGTATGTGCCAAAGATATATCTTTCCCCGATTTTAGCCTTCCCGCTTCTACTCGCCCACGTTGCACCTCCCCAATGCCCACCGCATCGATGTCGCCCCTGTTCATAGCCGCGGCGTCCTCTCCGTCCGCGTTTCTAAGGTTTATCGACCTACTTCGGCGCATTCGCTTCTTCTCCCCGTAGTCCACACTCGGTCCCCTTCCGTCCCACACACGCACTTCCCTCCATCGCTCACGCTGCCTCGCGAGACAGAGCACGCTCCCTCCCCTCTCGTCTCCTTCGCGCAATCCCCATTGTCGCGCACGCTCTGTTCCGTCGCGGATTACAAATTCCTTCCCGTCGCCCACGCGGGAGCGCCGAGACCGGTCACGCACACTCCCTTCCGTCACCCACGCGCACTCCGTCGGTTACCTCGGCCCACGCGCACTCCCTTCCGTTGGCCACGCTCAAGACCTTCCCGTCGCCCACGCTCACTCCCTTCCCATCGCCTACGCGCAATCGATCCGTCGCCCACTCTCAATCACTTCCCTCGCCCGCGCTCGCTCCCTTCCCGTCGCCCACACTCACTCCCTTTCCTTCGCCTTCGCGCAATCCTTACATCGCACAATCTCACCCCCGCTCGGGGCACACGGCCAATTCCCTCTCGCCGCACGCTGCCGCCCGCGCCCGGCGCTCTCTTTCAATCTCCTCCCGCCGTCCACGCGCACTCCATCCCGGCGCTGCACGACGACTCCCCTTCCGCCGCCCACGCTCACTCCCTCCCGCCGCGACAGTCCCCTCCGTCGCACATGCTCACTCCCCTCCGTCGCCCACGCCCACTTCCTCTCGTCGCGTTCACTCCTCCCCGTCGCGCACGCTCTTTCCCCATCCGTCGCCCACGCTCACTGCCCGTACGTCGCACACTCTCACTCCCTTCCGTCGCCCACGCTCACTGCCCGTACGTCGTACACTCTCACTCCCTTCCGTCGCCCACGCTCACCTCCCTCCCGTCGCCTTTGCTCATTCCCCTCCGTATCCCACGCTCACTCCCCTTACGCCACCCACGCTCGCTCCCTCCAAGTCGCGTTCGGCCCCATCCGTCGCCCACCCTCACTCCAGTGCCGTCACACACGCACGCACCCTCCCCTCGACCGAGAAGGCACGCCTCACCCCATTCCGCCCCACCCCATTCTCCGCCTCACCCCATTCCGCCCCACCCCATTCTCCGCCTCACCCCATTCCGCCCCACCCCATTCTCCGCCTCACCCCATTCCGCCCCACCCCATTCTCCGCCTCACCCCATTCCGCCCCACCCCATTCTCCGCCTCACCCCATTCCGCCCCACCCCATTCTCCGCCTCACCCCATTCCGCCCCACCCCATTCTCCGCTTCACCCCATTCCGCCCCACCCCATTCTCCGCCTCACCCCATTCCGCCCCACCCCATTCTCCGCCTCACCCCATTCCGCCCCACCCCATTCTCCGCCTCACCCCATTCCGCCCCACCCCATTCTCCGCCTCACCCCATTCCGCCCCACCCCATTCTCTATCCCCTCCTCTTCCAAGCCCATCCCTCCTCGCCTCTCCCCATCCCTCCTCTCCCAATCCGTCCTTTCCCCATCCGTGCTCACCCCCATCTCGACCTCACCCCATCTCGACCTCACCCCATCTCGACCTCACCCCATCTCCGCCTCACCCCATCTCCTCCTCACCCCATCTCCTCCTCACCCCATCTCCTCCTCACCCCATCTCCTCCACACCCCATCTCCTCCTCACCCCATCTCCTCCTCATCCCATCTCCGCCTCACCCCATCACCTCCTCACCCCATCTCCTCCTCACCCCATCTCCTCCTCACCCCATCTCCTCCTCACCCCATCTCCGCCTCACCCCATCTCCTCCTCACCCCATCTCCTCCTCACCCCATCTCCGCCTCACCCCATCGCCTCCTCACCCCATCTCCTCCTCACCCCATCTCCGCCTCACCCCATCTCCGCCTCACCCCATCTCCTCCTCACCCCATCTCCTCCTCACCCCATCTCCTCCTCACCCCATCTCCTCCTCACCCCATCTCCTCCACACCCCATCTCCTCCTCATCCCATCTCCACCTCACCCCATCTCCACCTCACCCCATCTCCTCCTCACCCCATCTCCTCCTCACCCCATCTCCTCCACACCCCATCTCCGCCTCACCCCATCTTTTCAGGATAGGGTTAGTGTCAGCCCATGCATGCTTCGCCCACGCTCACTCTCTTCCCATCGCCCGCCACATTCCCTTCCGTCACCCACGCTAAGTCCCCTCCGTCGCCCATGTGCACTCCCCTCGAACGAGCACGCTTGATCCCTGCCCGCCCCATCACATCCCCTCACCCCGCCTTGTCCTATCCCCTCGCCCCGCCCTGTCCTATCCCCTCACCCCGCCTTGTCCTATCCCCTCACCCCGCCCTGTCCTATCCCCTCACCCCGCCCTGTCCTATCCCCTCACCCCGCCCTGTCCTATCCCCTCACCCCGCCCTGTCCTATCCCCTCACCCCGCACCATCCCAGGCAAGCATGACAGAGGCCCAGACGACCTGCATGGACGTGCCGCCTCCTCTTGCTCCTGTTTTCAGCATCTCGAAGGCCCAAACGAGCTACATTGCAGAAGGGACAGCAAAATGGAAACACAAAAGACTAGAGCAATGACTCGAGCTTGTCTTTTGTCCTGGTACTGCATGCTTATGTCATGTGTATTTACATCTCAAATATAATGGTACATGGGTTTAGAAGCTTTACATCTTATCGCCTGATTTGTATACTGGTTTACTGTGAAAGGGTTACAAACAAAACTAATAGAGGCTACCATAACAGCAGCATGAACAGCGGCTTGAGTACAGTATGAACATGTTGTAATATGCCGTTGGATGTCACAATGAGGGCACACAGCAGCCTCAAATGAAATCAAATCGTACTTGGTTGCTCCATGCTGCAAAGCAAAGCTCACAATCAGATGGAAGGTGGGAAGGACTGGAGAGGGAAATTAGAAACAAGGAAGGGAGGGAACGCAGGTGAGTCACAGGGTCGTGTAACCACCCCAGCCCTTCGAGTTACATGCCTGTTGAAGACAATAACAGGGTTGAAAAACGACAAGAGAGAGGAGGAAGGGCTGAGAGAGGGGAGGAACGGATGAGAGGAGTGAGGAAGGGATGATAAAAGGGGGGAGAGAGGAGAATAGGGGGGGGATAGGAGGACAGGAGGGAGAGAGGAGGACAGGGGGGGGAGAGGAGGACAGGGGGGGGGATAGGAGGACAGGAGGGAGAGAGGAGGACAGGGGGGGGGGGAGGAGGACAGGGGGGAGAGAGGAGGACAGGGGGGAGAGAGGAGGACAGGGGTGGAGAGAGGAGGACAGGGGGGGGAGAGGAGGACAGGGGGGAGAGAGGAGGACAGGGGGGAGAGAGGAGGACAGGGGGGAGAGAGGAGGACAGGGGGGAGAGAGGAGGACAGGGGGGGAGAGAGGAGGACAGGGGGGGGAGAGGAGGACAGGGGGGAGAGAGGAGGACAGGGGGGAGAGAGGAGGACAGGGGGGAGAGAGGAGGACAGGGGGGAGAGAGGAGGACAGGGGGGAGAGAGGAGGACAGGGGGGGGAGAGGAGGACAGGGGGGAGAGAGGAGGACAGGGGGGAGAGAGGAGGACAGGGGGGAGAGAGGAGGACAGTCGGGCTTGACGAGGCAGTAAGAAGAAGAGGAAGCGGTACGAAGATAGAGGAACAGGGAGAAGAGGGCAGGCGGGAAGGATGCTGGCCTAGACAGCGTGGAAGGCAAGAAGGGGGGGGAACAGGGGAACCAGGGGGGGGAAACAGTGGAACCAAGGGGGGGGAACAGGGGAACCAGGGGGGGGAAACAGGGGGGGGAAACAGGGGGGGGAACTGAGCGCAATCAAGGGGGGAAACTGAGCGCAATCAGGTGGGGAAACTGAGCGCAATCAGGGGGGGAAAACTGAGCGCAATCATGGGGGGAAACTGAGCGCAATCAGGGGGGGAAACCGAGCGCAATCATCGCGGGAAACTGAGCGCAATCAAGGCTGGGAGCTGAGCGCAATCAAGGGGGGGAACTGAGTGTAGTCTGAGAGGGGGGAACTGAGCGCAAAATGCGGTAGAAACTGAGCAGCGAGAAAGACATGAATTAGAATGATCGTTGCGACGTGGGCGGATTGGGAGATGATGCGACTGAAAACGGAGTGAGAAGGGGGAAAGTGGCCTCCGCAGAATCAAAGAAGCAGCTATTGAAGGGACAATAGGTGAACGAATGGGAAGCGGAGAGAAGGCGGCGGGGTGGAAAATCAGGGCGTCGGCGCTAGAGAGGGGAGTAGGCATGGGCGACGGGGAAAGGAAGAGAGGGCGAATAAGATGGAGATTCGACGAAGAGTAGGCGGCGGGAATGAGAACGACGTCGACGCAGCGACAGGTGGGAGAGCAGAGGTTGACGGGGCGAGCGATGGGGAGGGGAAGCGAGGGCGACGGGCGGGGGAAGCGAAGGCGACGGGCAGGGTAAACGAAGGCGACGGGCGGGGTAAGCGATGGGACGGGCGGGGGAAAGAGAGGGCGACGGGCGGAGGAAGCGAGGGCGACGGGCGGGGGGGCGGCGAGAGCGACGGGCGAGGTGTGGACGGTGGGCGGAGACAGCAAGGGCGACGGTCGAGGGTCGCGAGGTCGGCAAAGTGCTAAAGTCTCATCTCCTCACGCCCATTTTTTCCGTGCTTGACACTCGCGTCTGGCGCCTGTGTTTCCCTTCAATTGCATATTCGCGCGGCACCTACTATTTCAGGTTGTCTGCGATGTGTTCACTAAAAAACCCTATCTGGTGTGCGATGGTCGGATTCTAAAAGCGAGTGAATGAGTTGTTAGCTGTTCTGTCGCACCGATTTTCTTACTCTGCTCCAGTCCTCATGATGTCGCCTTTTGATTTCGCGTGCTCGCAACTTTCGCGATTCTTACAAACCTCACCCAACCCAACCCGAACCTAACCCGAACCCAGCGTTGACTCAGATATGTAATTCAGGCTTCGGGTTTTAATCAGCTCCGATTTGTCGTCGGCGGTGAAAACGACCACCCTGAGTACGACGTGCGCGGGGATGATCAACCCGTGCGGCGGGGGCAGTTGTTACATGAGCGGCGGAGTTCCGCGGTGCGACTGCAGCGCGATGACAAATATGGTTGAGGTGTTGGGAGTGCCCACGTCCAAGTGCGTGCCGCGAAGTCCGTGCACGACGGCTCCTGTTAATCCCTGCGGCGGAGGAACGTGCAGCGATGTGGGCGACGGGACGTACACGTGCGCGTGCACTGCGGGTTACGCCGTCGGCGCTGCTGTTGACGGTTCGCCTACGTGCGTTCCTGCAGCTGGCCTCGCGAAGTCCTACGTTACCAACCCTGGCGACAACTGCACGTATGTCGCGACAGCTTTCGGCATTTCGACCACCACACTGACAAACCTGAACACTTTCATCAACTGCTCCTTTACAGAGTACCTCCCTCCCGGAATTGCACTTACAGGTTCTGCAACAGTGACTTCCTTATCCTCATATTGCACCAACACATACACCGTCCGACCTTCCGAAACTTGCACTTCTGTAGCAAACACTTTCTTCAACGGATCTCTCACTTCCCTTATGGCAAGCAACCCTGGCCTGTCATGCAAGCGCTTGTTCAAGTCACAGCAAGTATGCCTTCAAATGGTCACCGCATCGACAACATCGTCGGCTCCACAGTGCGGGCAAAGCGTCGCCGTGGTCATGGGAGACACGTGTGCTTCTGTCGCTGTTAAATACTCGGTTGACAGCGCAACTTTTTCCTCGTGAGTATTTTGAACTCCTTCCACTGGTTTTGTAAGTCCGAGTTCCCCCTTCACTCCATCATATTCTCTTCCTGTCTCGTTGCAACTCTGCGCTTGCACCTGTGCAGGCTTAACCCAGGCGTCAACTGCAACAGCAATCTTCCAGTGGGCTCATACGTCTGTGTGGCGCCAACATCACCTACGGTAAGCATAGCATGCTCCCCTTCTGCCTGCCATTCCTTCTCTCTGCCTTGCCATTACTCCTCTCTGCCTTGCCATTCCTTCTCTCTGCCTTGCCATTACTCCTCTCTGCCTGCCATTCCTTCTCTCTGCCTTGCCATTACTCCTCTCTGCCTGCCATTCCTTCTCTCTGCCTTGCCATTACTCCTCTCTGCCTGCCATTCCTTCTCTGCCTGCCTACTCCTCTCTGCTGCATTCCTCTCTCTGCCTTGCCATTACTCCTCTCTGCCTGCCATTCCTTCTCTCTGCCTTGCCATTACTCCTCTCTGCCTGCCATTCCTTCTCTCTGCCTTGCCATTACTCCTCTCTGCCTGCCATTCCTTCTCTCTGCCTTGCCATTACTCCTCTCTGCCTGCCATTCCTTCTCTCTGCCTTGCCATTACTCCTCTCTGCCTGCCATTCCTTCTCTCTGCCTTGCCATTACTCCTCTCTGCCTGCCATTCCTTCTCTCTGCCTTGCCATTACTCCTCTCTGCCTGCCATTCCTTCTCTCTGCCTTGCCCATTACTCCTCTCTGCCTGCCATTCCTTCTCTCTGCCTTGCCATTACTCCTCTCTGCCTGCCATTCCTTCTCTCTGCCTTGCCATTACTCCTCTCTGCCTGCCATTCCTTCTCTCTGCCTTGCCATTACTCCTCTCTGCCTGCCATTCCTTCTCTCTGCCTTGCCATTACTCCTCTCTGCCTGCCATTCCTTCTCTCTGCCTTGCCATTACTCCTCTCTGCCTGCCATTCCTTCTCTCTGCCTTGCCATTACTCCTCTCTGCCTGCCATTCCTTCTCTCTGCCTTGCCATTACTCCTCTCTGCCTGCCATTCCTTCTCTCCTGCCTTGCCATTACTCCTCTCTGCCTGCCATTCCTTCTCTCTGCCTTGCCATTACTCCTCTCTGCCTGCCATTCCTTCTCTCTGCCTTGCCATTACTCCTCTCTGCCTGCATTCTCTCTGCCTGCCATTACTCCTCTCTGCCTGCCATTCCTTCTCTCTGCCTTGCCATTACTCCTCTCTGCCTGCCATTCCTTCTCTCTGCCTTGCCATTACTCCTCTCTGCCTGCCATTCCTTCTCTCTGCCTTGCCATTACTCCTCTCTGCCTGCCATTCCTTCTCTCTGCCTTGCCATTACTCCTCTCTGCCTGCCATTCCTTCTCTCTGCCTTGCCATTACTCCTCTCTGCCTGCCATTCCTTCTCTCTGCCTTGCCATTACTCCTCTCTGCCTGCAATTCCTTCTCTCTGCCTTGCCATTACTCCCTCTCTGCCTGCCATTCCTTCTCTCTGCCTTGCCATTACTCCTCTCTGCCTGCCATTCCTTCTCTCTGCCTTGCCATTACTCCCTTCCGCCTGCCATTCCTTCTCTCTGCCTTGCCATTACTCCTCTCTGCCTGCCATTCCTTCTCTCTGCCTTGCCATTACTCCTCTGCCTGCCATTCCTTCTCTCTGCCTTGCCATTACCTCCTCTCTGCCTGCCATTCCTTCTCTCTGCCTTGCCATTACTCCTCTCTGCCTGCCATTCCTTCTCTCTGCCTTGCCATTACTCCTCTCTGCCTGCCATTCCTTCTCTCTGCCTTGCCATTACTCCTCTCTGCCTGCCATTCCTTCTCTCTGCCTTGCCATTACTCCTCTCTGCCTGCCATTCCTTCTCTCTGCCTTGCCATTACTCCTCTCTGCCTGCCATTCCTTCTCTCTCTGCCTTGCCATTACTCCTCTCTGCCTGCCATTCCTTCTCTCTGCCTTGCCATTACTCCTCTCTGCCTGCCATTCCTTCTCTCTGCCTTGCCATTACTCCTCTCTGCCTGCCATTCCTTCTCTCTGCCTTGCCATTACTCCTCTCTGCCTGCCATTCCTTCTCTCTGCCTTGCCATTACTCCTCTCTGCCTGCCATTCCTTCTCTCTGCCTTGCATTACTCCTCTCTGCCTGCCATTCCTTCTCTCTGCCTTGCCATTACTCCTCTCTGCCTGCCATTCCTTCTCTCTGCCTTGCCATTACTCCTCTCTGCCTGCCATTCCTTCTCTCTGCCTTGCCATTACTCCTCTCTGCCTGCCATTCCTTCTCTCTGCCTGCCATATCCTCTCTAGCATGCCTCTCTGCCTTGCCATTACTCCTCTCTGCCTGCCATTCCTTCTCTCTGCCTTGCATTACTCCTCTCTGCCTGCCATTCCTTCTCTCTGCCTTGCCATTACTCCTCTCTGCCTGCCATTCCTTCTCTCTGCCTTGCCATTACTCCTCTCTGCCTGCCATTCCTTCTCTCTGCCTTGCCATTACTCCTCTCTGCCTGCCATTCCTTCTCTCTGCCTTGCCATTACTCCTCTCTGCCTGCCATTCCTTCTCTCTGCCTTGCCATTACTCCTCTCTGCCTGCCATTCCTTCTCTCTGCCTTGCCATTACTCCTCTCTGCCTGCCATTCCTTCTCTCTGCCTTGCCATTACTCCTCTCTGCCTGCCATTCCTTCTCTCTGCCTTGCCATTACTCCTCTCTGCCTGCCATTCCTTCTCTCTGCCTTGCCATTACTCCTCTCTGCCTGCCATTCCTTCTCTCTGCCTTGCCATTACTCCTCTCTGCCTGCCATTCCTTCTCTCTGCCTTGCCATTACTCCTCTCTGCCTGCCATTCCTTCTCTCTGCCTTGCCATTACTCCTCTCTGCCTGCCATTCCTTCTCTCTGCCTTGCCATTACTCCTCTCTGCCTGCCATTCCTTCTCTCTGCCTTGCCATTACTCCTCTCTGCCTGCCATTCCTTCTCTCTGCCTTGCCATTACTCCTCTCTGCCTGCCATTCCTTCTCTCTGCCTTGCCATTACTCCTCTCTGCCTGCCATTCCTTCTCTCTGCCTTGCCATTACTCCTCTCTTGCCTGCCATTCCTTCTCTCTGCCTTGCCATTACTCCTCTCTGCCTGCCATTCCTTCTCTCTGCCTTGCCATTACTCCTCTCTGCCTGCCATTCCTTCTCTCTGCCTTGCCATTACTCCTCTCTGCCTGCCATTCCTTCTCTCTGCCTTGGCCATTACTCCTCTCTGCCTGCCATTCCTTCTCTCTGCCTTGCCATTACTCCTCTCTGCCTGCCATTCCTTCTCTCTGCCTTGCCATTACTCCTCTCTGCCTGCCATTCCTTCTCTCTGCCTTGCCATTACTACTCTCTGCCTGCCATTCCTTCTCTCTGCCTTGCCATTACTCCTCTCTGCCTGCCATTCCTTCTCTCTGCCTTGCCATTACTCCTCTCTGCCTGCCATTCCTTCTCTCTGCCTTGCCATTACTCCTCTCTGCCTGCCATTCCTTCTCTCTGCCTTGCCATTACTCCTCTCTGCCTGCCATTCCTTCTCTCTGCCTTGCCATTACTCCTCTCTGCCTGCCATTCCTTCTCTCTGCCTTGCCATTACTCCTCTCTGCCTGCCATTCCTTCTCTCTGCCTTGCCATTACTCCTCTCTGCCTGCCATTCCTTCTCTCTGCCTTGCCATTACTCCTCTCTGCCTGCCATTCCTTCTCTCTGCCTTGCCATTACTCCTCTCTGCCTGCCATTCCTTCTCTCTGCCTTGCCATTACTCCTCTCTGCCTGCCATTCCTTCTCTCTGCCTTGCCATTACTCCTCTCTGCCTGCCATTCCTTCTCTCTGCCTTGCCATTACTCCTCTCTGCCTGCCATTCCTTCTCTCTGCCTTGCCATTACTCCTCTCTGCTGCCATTCCTTCTCTCTGCCTTGCCATTACTCCTCTCTGCCTGCCATTCCTTCTCTCTGCCTTGCCATTACTCCTCTCTGCCTGCCATTCCTTCTCTCTGCCTTGCCATTACTCCTCTCTGCCTGCCATTCCTTCTCTCTGCCTTGCCATTACTCCTCTCTGCCTGCCATTCCTTCTCTCTGCCTTGCCATTACTCCTCTCTGCCTGCCATTCCTTCTCTCTGCCTTGCCATTACTCCTCTCTGCCTGCCATTCCTTCTCTCTGCCTTGCCATTACTCCTCTCTGCCTGCCATTCCTTCTCTCTGCCTTGCCATTACTCCTCTCTGCCTGCCATTCCTTCTCTCTGCCTTGCCATTACTCCTCTCTGCCTGCCATTCCTTCTCTCTGCCTTGCCATTACTCCTCTCTGCCTGCCATTCCTTCTCTCTGCCTTGCCATTACTCCTCTCTGCCTGCCATTCCTTCTCTCTGCCTTGCCATTACTCCTCTCTGCCTGCCATTCCTTCTCTTCTGCCTTGCCATTACTCCTCTCTGCCTGCCATTCCTTCTCTCTGCCTTGCCATTACTCCTCTCTGCCTGCCATTCCTTCTCTCTGCCTTGCCATTACTCCTCTTGCCTGCCATTCCTTCTCTCTGCCTTGCCATTACTCCTCTCTGCCTGCCATTCCTTCTCTCTGCCTTGCCATTACTCCTCTCTGCCTGCCATTCCTTCTCTCTGCCTTGCCATTACTCCTCTCTGCCTGCCATTCCTTCTCTCTGCTTGCCATTACTCCTCTCTGCCTGCCATTCCTTCTCTCTGCCTTGCCATTACTCCTCTCTGCCTGCCATTCCTTCTCTCTGCCTTGCCATTACTCCTCTCTGCCTGCCATTCCTTCTCTCTGCCTTGCCATTACTCCTCTCTGCCTGCCATTCCTTCTCTCTGCCTTGCCATTACTCCTCTCTGCCTGCCATTCCTTCTCTCTGCCTTGCCATTACTCCTCTCGGCCTGCCATTCTCTCTCTGCTTGCCATTACTCCTCGCTCTGCTGCCATTCCTTCTCTCTGCCTTGCCATTACTTCCTCTCTGCCTGCCATTCCTTCTCTCTGCCTTGCCATTACTCCTCTCTGCCTGCCATTCCTTCTCTCTGCCTTGCCATTACTCCTCTCTGCCTGCCATTCCTTCTCTCTGCCTTGCCATTACTCCTCTCTGCCTGCATTCCTTCTCTCTGCCTTGCCATTACTCCTCTCTGCCTGCCATTCCTTCTCTCTGCCTTGCCATTACTCCTCTCTGCCTGCCATTCCTTCTCTCTGCCTTGCCATTACTCCTCTCTGCCTGCCATTCCTTCTCTCTGCCTTGCATTACTCCTCTCTGCCTGCCATTCCTTCTCTCTGCCTTGCCATTACTCCTCTCTGCCTGCCATTCCTTCTCTCTGCCTTGCCATTACTCCTCTCTGCCTGCCATTCCTTCTCTCTGCCTTGCCATTACTCCTCTCTGCCTGCCATTCCTTCTCTCTGCCTTGCCATTACTCCTCTCTGCCTGCCATTCCTTCCTCTCTGCCATTGCCATTCTCCTCTCTGCCTGCCATTCCCTTCTCTCTGCCTTGCCATTACTCCTCTCTGCCTGCCATTCCTTCTCTCTGCCTGCCATTACTCCTCTCTGCCTGCCATTCCTTCTCTCTGCCTTGCCATTACTCCTCTCTGCCTGCCATTCCTTCTCTCTGCATTGCCATTTACTCCTCTCTGCCTGCCATTCCTTCTCTCTGCCTTGCCAATTACTCCTCTCTGCCTGCCATTCCTTCTCTCTGCCTTGCCATTACTCCTCTCTGCCTGCCATTCCTTCTCTCTGCCTTGCCATTACTCCTCTCTGCCTGCCATTCCTTCTCTCTGCATTGCCATTACTCCTCTCTGCCTGCCATTCCTCTCTATGCCTTGCCATTACTCCTCTCTGCCTGCCATTCCTTCTCTCTGCCTTGCCATTACTCCTCTCTGCCTGCCATTCCTTCTCTCTGCCTTGCCATTACTCCTCTCTGCCTGCCATTCCTTCTCTCTGCCTTGCCATTACTCCTCTCTGCCTGCCATTCCTTCTCTCTGCCTTGCCATTACTCCTCTCTGCCTGCCATTCCTTCTCTCTGCCTTGCCATTACTCCTCTCTGCCTGCCATTCCTTCTCTCTGCCTTTCCATTACTCCTCTCTGCCTGCCATTCCTTCTCTCTGCCTTGCCATTACTCCTCTCTGCCTGCCATTCCTTCTCTCTGCCTTGCCATTACTCCTCTCTGCCTGCCATTCCTTCTCTCTGCCTTGCCATTACTCCTCTCTGCCTGCCATTCCTTCTCTCTGCCTTGCCATTACTCCTCTCTGCCTGCCATTCCTTCTCTCTGCCTTGCCATTACTCCTCTCTGCCTGCCATTCTTCTCTCTGCCTTGCATTCTCCTCTCTGCCTGCCATTCCTTCTCTCTGCCTTGCCATTACTCCTCTCTGCCTGCCATTCCTTCTCTCTGCCTTGCCATTACTCCTCTCTGCCTGCCATTCCTTCTCTCTGCCTTGCCATTACTCCTCTCTGCCTGCCATTCCTTCTCTATGCCTTGCCATTACTCCTCTCTGCCTGCCATTCCTTCTCTCTGCCTTGCCATTACTCCTCTCTGCCTGCCATTCCTTCTCTCTGCCTTGCCATTACTCCTCTCTGCCTGCCATTCCTTCTCTATGCCTGCCATTACTCCTCTCTGCCTGCCATTCCTTCTCTCTGCCTTGCCATTACTCCTCTCTGCCTGCCATTCCTTCTCTATGCCTTGCCATTACTCCTCTCTGCCTGCCATTCCTTCTCTCTGCCTTGCCATTACTCCTCTCTGCCTGCCATTCCTTCTCTCTGCCTTGCCATTACTCCTCTCTGCCTGCCATTCCTTCTCTCTGCCTTGCCATTACTCCTCTCTGCCTGCCATTCCTTCTCTCTGCCTTGCCATTACTTCTCTCTGCCATTCCTTCTCTGCCTCCTCCTCTCTGGCCTGCCATTCTTCTCTGCCTTGCCATTACTCCTCTCTGCCTGCCATTCCTTCTCTCTGCCTTGCCATTACTCCTCTCTGCCTGCCATTCCTTCTCTCTGCCTTGCCATTACTCCTCTCTGCCTGCCATTCCTTCTCTCTGCCTTGCCATTACTCCTCTCTGCCTGCCATTCCTTCTCTCTGCCTTGCCATTACTCCTCTCTGCCTGCCATTCCTTCTCTCTGCCTTGCCATTACTCCTCTCTGCCTGCCATTCCTTCTCTCTGCCTTGCCATTACTCCTCTCTGCCTGCCATTCCTTCTCTCTGCCTTGCCATTACTCCTCTCTGCTCTGCCATTCCTTCTCTCTGCCTTGCCATTACTCCTCTCTGCCTGCCATTCCTTCTCTCTGCCTTGCCATTACTCCTCTCTGCCTGCCATTCCTTCTCTCTGCCTTGC